TTGTTTCTTATATTTAATGCATCTCTTAAGAAAATCTGTTTCCAAAAATCTAATTCCGTACATTGCAGTATATTCAGAAATTGACTTTGTTGTTTTGTAATAAACTTAGTAAATAAGATTTACTTCAGGACTAGGATACAGGATGCTCAACAGCATATCTGTTTTAGTTTCCCTTCATAAACTACTAAGAGGCAACTGCAAAGCTTTGTTTTCTTAAATCATGACATTCACTGATAAAACTTAATGTAATCAGTGAAAGCTTTCCAACCTCTTCTTGCCCCATTAATGAACAGTGTTAACTTTATCCTTCACCCTCTAGTCTTTGTATCTCAATCTATTCAACACCCTACCCATGAAACACCACTCCCATTCCATTGTGTGCTGTAATCACCCATTCTCCATTCATATTTCTCCTTGAAACATTCTTCAACCATGAAGTCTGCTCAGATAGCTCCACTCAGCAGGGGAAAAAAACCAAAAAAAAAACAACCCTCTAACTTGCCCATAAAGGAAAAGAGAAAAATTCCTGGGTTAAAACAGAACCCTGTTCCAAGTTACCCACCCTACTGGGTGTACGTGTTTAGACCATTTGATTTTCAACCAGGGTGCTGCACAATACTAGCACAGTTCAGTGTACAAACACCTACACTTTCACAAGATAAACCCAGAGTTCAAATAGAAAAAAGAATGTTTTTCACGCTATGGATTCCTAACTTGTTGTGGTCTTCTCAAGTTCTCTGCAACAAATAACTGCTCTGTTATTGTCCCATATTCAAAAAATGAGCAACGGCTAAGAGCTGGCATTTTCGGAGAACGCTGAATCTAATGAGGGGTGCCTTGAGTCTAAAGACAGCCCCGGTTTAGACTATACTGGTAAGCTCCTTGGTATGCCAAAAATCTTTTTTTCCTTGCACAGCACCAGGTGCACAGTTCATCTCTAACAAGTATTACTACGTTACCAAACAAACTCCCCACCTCTAAGAAATGCAGGATGTTAATGTAATCCTCATGCTAAAAACAGAAGTCTGATGAAAACATGTACAAAAACTGCTGCTTTTAACAATAAGGTAGAGGAGCTCCCTCTATTGAATTGGTTGCCAAAAAATCTCTTGTTTCAAAGCTGTACGCTACTGCTAAAAACATGTGTTTTATAAAATGTTCTATTTAATACCTTTAGGGCCCAGTTATTCGAGGTGCTAAACGCACTCAACTTCCAAATAAGTCAGTGTGGAAGCAGCAGGTGCTCAGAACCTCTGTTGCCGTCCAGTGACTTGCTAACAAATTAAATTAAAAAGAATACTTACTAAATATATAGATATCTAGATCTCTGTCTTAGACATAAAATACAGATACAAACAACTGATCCACACATTAATGTCCTTCTTTCCCCAAAAGAGATTAATTGTAATATGCATTAACTGGAGACTCACAATATTTTTATACAGTCATTAGAAACATTTGAAATAATGGACTGCTCAGTGAAATAAGCAAAACATACTTCTGGCTTGCTATCATGGGAGCAGCTTAATATTATCCCCTTATTTATAATCTATTGAAAACATTTCAAATGCTTTTTAACCTAATGTTACAGAACTGTTCTAAATGATGATAACCTCCAAAAATCACACCCTGAAGCTCCACTCTCTTCACCATTTTATTACTTTCTTTACAGAAGAGGCATATTTCTTATCTTTGTAGGATATACCAGCTCAGCAGATGCAGGGTTTGTTTTAATAAACAGATACTTATTTGCTGCTCTAGAGATTTATACATATGATAAGAAAAGCAATTTAATCTCAAACTAGGCAGATATTCCTTAAAGAACCACCAGGTTAGAGCACTAGATTAGCAACCAGGGGGGTTAGATTGAGTGGAGAGACCACCCGTCCCCCCCACCCCAGTTAAGCTAACAGGTGTTTTGTCAGGCACACATTAGTAACTATTTTTCAAAAGAGCTTTTGCCATCCTCTCACCTCTCATAAAAAAAACAATGAGGCTCACATTGTAGTTCATGCTATATACTCCTGCCTATCTCCAAAGCTCTGGTAGAGTTTTAATAGTAGTACTGCAAGGTAGAGTGTTTAGAAGTTAAAGCTTGATCTTCCAAGATCCTAATACCTGTGACCACTTGGAATGCTTGGGAACCCCCAGAAGAGCTCAGCTCCTCAGGAATTCAAGCCTTTAATCAAACTTAGAAGTAAATCTAATTCCCATCAACAACACTTGCAATTTCTGAAAATGCTTTTTCGTTTGATTGCAACGGTAAGCTATTTCTTCCTGAAGTCAAAGGGATTTGAGAGCCCTTAGCACCTTGCGAGTAGTGCTCATAGGTTTGGTGTTACCATTTACATGCACGCTATAGCTTTTTAAGAAGCTAGTCTTAGCACAGCATTGAAGGACTTTGTTTTAACCCCTTCAAGGAAGTATCACAAGCAGAGCTGAGCACAGTAAATAAAGAAGCTTGTGTTTGCATCTTCAAATACTCCCAATAAGCAGTTGAAGCCTATTATAAAATGGCTGTATGTGGCTTTTAAAAATTTTTTAAGTGTATCGTGGAAACCTTATTACAATTTGATGGAAGAGGGAGGCACCTAAAAAGTATATATTAAGCAGGCACTTTAATAATACAGAGCAAAATGCCAATGTGCAGAATAGTACTTTCTTAGTAACAGTGCAACATAAATCAGCGTAACAGCATCAAGAATTGTAGGCTAGCTTACTCTGTCCCATGATTTACAGGGTTGCCAAATACATCTGGGCCAATACCCAGAGGGAAGCATGAATGCTGCAAGATGATATACACATGCAAGCTACTGTTAGGGGATCCACTTACACAATCATAGCTCCTGACAGAGTTAGCACATTGTTCAGTCCTGCAATGTTAATGGGATTAAAGCAAAGTTTAACTTTGTTCTTAGACAGTGTTGTGGTATGATTGCCGAGAACAATTAAGGCTTCGTTTTTAGTCCTACTTCTTGCTCTTCTAATCACGACCGATACTTGTGTAATGTAACCAGGTCTGGCAAGAAGGTCATCACTTGTAGGACAGACTGGTTCTAACAGCAGCTGCTAGAGCAGTTCAATTTAAAATGGAAAGGATAAGTAATTTGTGAATCATAACATATTTAAGGAGCTTAATAGTTCAGCATTTTTCTTTATGTCATCATGTTAAATTGTTCAGTTTTCTCCAAAGTTTTAGGATGGAGTTAAGCCAATTACAACTGTCAGTGTATATTACAAAGGCAATTTAAACCGCTTACCTTGGTATTATTCTGGATCAAACTATGCAATACTTTCACAAAAAAGAATCCATGGCATTAGAAAATGAAAGTTCAAAGAAATGAACCCAAAAGACCTGATTGGTCTTTTGGGTTCTGGAGAAAAAGCGAGGCATGCTGGAAATAACTGATGCTTCACAAAAATGCATATCATAGAATGTGATCTTTTTCAAAGCTATAAAATGTAAGGGTTGGGTTCTTGAACACAATCTACACTAGAAATGCAGATATTATTATGTTTTCCTAATGGTCACAAAGATCAGAGTTAAGGTTACCCATTTGCCATTTCCTGCCCTTTCCAACAAAAGCTCTAGAAAGGAGGCTCCCCAAACAGTTACTGCCAACTTCGACCAGGACTGTGGGACTACCCAACCTTTCCATTCAGAGTTTTTCTAACATGTTCTTGCTTTCCTCAACATTCTCAAGCAACAAAAATAACCATGGATTTTTAAATGAAGGAAACAGTTCACAAATTCTGTCAGCTCTTGTTTGATCACCCAAATTTAGCTATTCCATACCTGTGTTCAGCTAGAAAAACAGAATGCATAAGAATGAATACAAGAGAGCAGGAGAAAAAAAAGTGGGCAGCATTTAGACCTGTCATCTCTAGTTATATTCCATCTCTTCATACACCCGCATTATCACAAGCACTATAAACTCTTGAAATAATGTCATACTTACAGGTTAACCAATAGTGAGACATGATATTTTATCCTCTTCTTAATCCTTCCTATGGGCATTTTAATTCTCATTCATCTCATTTAATTCTCATTCATTGCAAGATATGTTTTATAAAAACACAAGACCACTGAATCCAAAGAGCTCTCTCTATGACAAAAGCATCTTAACTTAGGCCAGGCACTGTCCACATCCCTTTCAGAGAGTTTGACCCTACTTTCTTGAAAAATACAAATGGGACAGTGTGAGTCATTCTTATTCCTGCCTGGAGAATTTCTCCACCCTTAACCACAGTAATTAGCATCCTTGTAAACTTTGTAACATTACTAGTTAACCTAAAGACTGACAGTCATTAAAGCCTTACTGCATTTAATAGCTTGCTCAGGCATGAAACTACAAAGTGGATTAACACTTTAAGAATGGTTTAAAATGCAGCATCACAAGAGTAATTTTACTGAGTGTCCAGCGATTTGCTTCGCTTTAAGCAATCCAGAGTTAAGCCTGTGTAAAAATAGTGCTAATAATTTTTTTTTTAAAGATCTATGGAAGCCTATTCTTCCGTCCATCTCCTTCTGGAAATAAGAGTACAACAGTACCCTGAAACAGTTAAGTGGCAAACACAAAATAAAAGTAATGTGGAAGTCCAATGCTGAAACACATCTAGTCCAAGGCAACACTTCTGTAACCCCTTTCCGCTATTGGAAATGCAAGCAATACAAAGGACACGCTGTTTCTTCAAGCAATTCAAAATGTCACCACAGGCTGACGCTCTTTCTACGAGAATAATGAACAGCTCGCTCTCTGCCTTGAATGCAGAGCATACACGCTCCCCAGCTTTTCCAGTCCTGGTGCTTGGGATTTACAAAATAAAGAGAGCAAACACCTCATCCCTGAACTGTTTCCCAAACAGGGAGAGAGAAGGTTTGGGCCCCACTTCCCCGTGGTCTAAAAATAATCAAACAAAATAAAGCAGGAGGATTGGGGACAGCAGGGACTTGCTTTGTCATCTCACTCACACAGTATTAAAATTATCTAAGGAAATACCCTTATCTTTCCACCCTCTAGCATGGTAAGCTGCACGTCATGCCCAGCATCAGCTGCTTTCCTGGAACAGATCTACCCGCTGTGCAAGCAGAGAGCAGAACTCAGGTCTCCTCTTTCACAAGACAAGAAGGGAAAGCAGCACTCTCAACATGCCTTTACCCCTCCCAGGATCCAGGCCCCCTGCTTCCCATCTATGCCAACCCGCTGGCTTTTGGGCAGCAGCCACCGGAGAGCAGCAGCAGGCACTTGCAAGGGCACAGACTTGCCGCAGCACTTGCTAGCAGCGGCAGCTGGGACAGGTCAGGAACATCCCCTGCACTTGTGCAGCAGGGCGTGCGACTGGGCTGATCCTGGCCACCCTCCCATGGGGCACCCAAGTGAGGGCTGCTGGCTTCCTCCAACCCAGGAGGAAGGACAGTGGCTCAGCTCCCCTGCAGGGTGGGGGCAGCGCCCAGCTGCAGGGCAGAACCCCCTGGTGGGCTTCTTGCTCGGAGGCAGCTGCTGAAGAAGGGGAGGCGGGGCAGAGTGGATACTGCAGCCCTCCAGCCCTGCCAAGGATTTGGAGGGCAGGTGGGGAAGAAGAGGCAGGGTAAAACTGTTGCAGCAAAGGGGGGAGGAGGAGGAAATAGAAGTGAAACTCCCTGCAAAAGGCAACTGTCTAGTAACTCCCCCCCCTGGGCTGGACACACACAGACACCCCTCCCTCCCCCCCCCAACTCCAAAACTCGCAGGGAGGCCCCGGATCCGGG